ATTTTCTCATAAGTTATTGGTGTTTTACACATTGTAGTAAGGTCTCAAAATGACAAAGATCTGTTGTAAAAAGGTAAGAAAAAAAGAAAGAACACAGTGTAGTTTTCATAGTAAAATGAGTTGAAAAATACTCATTTTTACTGTCATGTTCGCACAGCGAACATCCCCTTCGCCTAGCGAACAAGTTTTTGTGGTACTAAAAGTGCCACTGAACATCCTGTTTTCTCATGTTTTTAGCCAGCGAGTTGTTCGCTGGCACCTTCGCACTGCGAACTTTGGCACCTTTTGCCTCTGTTTGCGTTCACTAGGAAGTTCGCACAGCGAACTTCTTCCTGTTTTTTTAGCAGCTTCGCTGCAAGGTTCCAACAGCGAACTTCAGTGTCTTTTGCCTCTGTTTGCGTTCGCTAGGAAGTTCGTGCAGCAAACTTCTTATTGTTTTCTGGGCAGCTTCGCTGCAAGGTTCGCACAGCGAACTTCCCATAGTTTTTTTTTCTAAAAAAAATTTTCTATTTTTTTTCATGTCTTGTTTTTTCAAGCCGACTAACCCGATGTGGTTGTACGACCATTGTATGTGGATGTTATTACGGTCTTTTTTTTTTTTTTACTTTTGGTTCCAAAAACTATTTTCAAAAATAAACTCTCGATTTTATCGAGCCATTTTCACCCTTGTAAGTCGATTGCCTTGTACGTCGCCATCGACCTTGTTCGCATCACTTCAAATATTTTTACAAGCAATAAAACCCTTGATCCAACATCAAGTGGTACTTTTCTCATAAAAAATCAAAACAAAAAACAATAAAGATATGATTAGGTTTATACGCCATAAGCTTTAAAGTGGTGGAGAAGGAATGAGAATGAAAACCTCCTACACTCGTTCCGAATGTTTTGAATACAAGGCGCTCGACTTGGTTATTCGAAACATTCATCTCTATCCAAAGTCTTTAGTGTGATCCTAATCAAGAACAATTCTCAAAAACCTAAAAATAACATCAACTCATCAAACTTCTTTTCGCCTTAGGGAATCAATCCGAAAATCCTTTTTCAAGGTATAAAATCAACCAACATACAATCATTTCACAAGCCTCCGAACTACGGAGCTCTGATTCTTTACTTCTTTTAAGTGAGGATGCGTAGGCACAAGGGCCACAATCCTTGGCGAGCACTCTAATAAAAAACCAACCCCTTTTTTCTTTGAAGCAAGCAAACTTTTAGATTAAAATACCCATTCAATCTAAACATCCTAGAAGGTTCCCATCAAGTACAATGGATGTGAGGGGGTGCTAATACCTTCCCCTTGCATAACCGACTCTCGAACCCTAAAAATTGCTTGCGATGACCATGTTCTTTCCCTAAAGGTTTTATCGTTATTTCCCTTTCCCTCCTTGGAATAAATAAAATCCAGTGGTGACTCTGTGTCATTTTTCGCGTAGCGACAATGACTGCCATGCAACTCTAAGCCTACCATACACTACTATTTCTAGCTTGAAAAGGAATTCTTCTAAACAAAAATTATAGTTATATATTGTTGAAAAGTATCATTACAAATGACATCACTTGAATCCCATGGAGGAATAGAGATTATTGGAGATGCAAATCAATACATTTTAACACTTTCTTTATAACTTTTTGAGATGCCTTAGAAAAAACACACTATTTTTAAAGTTTAATCGGTTACCAAACATTCTCCAAATCCTATGTGAGGGATGACCTAAGAAAATTTGGATTAGTAAAGGGGAAAACTTAATCAATAATATCATTAAGTCATCTTCGAATGCAACGGAGGTTGAAGAGGTTGAACAACTAACACCATCTTCCGTATAAACTAATTCTACAAAACATATAAAGATATTTCATTATGCCTCAAGTATAATAAATAATAATACATTTGGCTAGTTAGTTATCATACATTGCTCAAATCTCTCAAGAATATCAAAATCTTCATTTGCAATCAAGGATGAAGATGTTCCTTTCAGCCAATCCTGGGTGCAAATCAGTGCTTCGACTGTTGTAGGTTTTAACGAGCTGCGATATGGATCAAACACTCTTTCTCCTGTACTGAATGCAGATTCAGACGCCACTATGCTTATAGGTATAGGCAGCACGTCTCTTGCAATGTTTGCAAGGATGGGATATCGGCCAAAGTTAACTTTCCACCACTCTAAAACATTTATCTCCATGTTATGCTCCAACTTCTCTCCAAGATAAGTACTTAATTCATTATCTGCATTGTCACACCCTTCTGAAAGATAGAACTCAGCAATTCCATAAGGATGGCTAACACTATCAAAAACTTGCGGTTCATCTGAATTACCTTGAGGAGGCATAAATCCAGCACAATATACTTCATAAATAGATTTCATGTAGAAATTTAAGTTTGTTTTCAAGGCATCGGCATCATCCTTATTGTAGTACCGCCTTACCATCCAATCAACCAATCTAATCTTACGCCTAGGGTCGAAAACTAGAGCAATCAACATCATATTAAGCTTCTCATGAGGTCCCCAATACTTATCATACTTCTTCATCTTTTGAGCTGCTGAACATAGATGTTCATCTTCAGAAGCACGCATATCCGCAATGCTCTTTCCAATACCCAAGACCTCAAACATATAAATATTGCTTGTCAAATAAGATGACCCTGATATGTGTACTGTAGCATCATAAAAAAAACTTCAAGAATGGAATGATTAAGTTGATATGCTTCCAATCATCTTTCATCGGGACACCTTTTTCCTTCTTTGTCAACTCATTCACATACCTAGCACAACATAAAATGTTTAACATAAATTGAAGTGAATATATAATAGTACTTATTGTTCAAAATTGAAATCAATAGCAGAAGAAAAAAAAAAGTTAATTGACTTGTTTAAAGTTTATGTCAATAATAACATAGGAATTTTAGTTAGCTTTTACTTCAACATCATCTCATTCCTCCTGTGAAAACCAGTACTATATATTTACATAACCCTACATGGATGCTTCTGTCACTTTTCTAAATTAATATTCAAAATCCAGCTATTGAAGCTTCAATTTAGTTTTCAAGGCTAATATTCATCAAGCTTAACTAAAGCGATTATAGTCTAAACAAAGAAACCATCCATACTTGACCATACAATTAGAATATTTTATGAGTAACCTGCTCAAGAAAAATGTATGCTACCAACCAGAAAAGTTCAGCACTCCAACAACTTGCAATTCCAATGAAAATCAACGAAAGAAACAGTACCATTTCATATAGTGATAACCAACACTCTCTCTTTTAGAAAGAAACCAGTGCATTTTTTTAGCAATGAACAACAACACTGAAAAACCAACTTTAACATCTATATTTCAACTAAAATGCACTAACTAAAAATATAGATTTTAAACCTTCAGCTAACTTTCGAATCAAATAAAATACCTTTCTCACTAATTTTAATCTCACTTTAAATTTCAGCAAGACTAAATGGTGTTCTAAATTAAGCCATATCAATTCTTTTGGTCCTATTTGAAGGGTAACCTGTCATAAACCTTCTCAATATGCGCAGAAAGAAGGAAAATAAATGAATACACACAAGAAGGCAATGTCAATATTTATTAGTATTAATCTGCATGCCTAGGCCAGTATGTTGAATGAATGGCCTTTATGCAATTACTTTGTATAAAGCAAGCTTGCCATTGATATATAATTGTAGGCATGATATGGTTTGGAATATTGTACATTGTACAAAAGCAAGTTCTTAAACCAACAAATATAAGGTCTTAAATCTAATGTTAGCCTATTTTTCCTGTGTAACTATTGCAGTTTACAGTCATGCACAACTACGGGCATATTTTCACTTATATCCATGTCTATTCTCTTTTATAAAGAAAACAACCATGAAATCATGTGACCATGTTATATTTGCTTATAGTGAGTAGTATAGTTGCTTTTGAGGCATGATCACATTGATATGAAGAAAAAACCTCCCACATTAGAGCAAGGATAATTAACGCTTCAAACAGACCTGCGGCAAATTTTTTATGTTGTTGATATAGTACATGATTAACAGCTTGAACTATGCCCTTAACACGATTAACAGCATCTTCATAATCAAAAATCTCATACCCCACAAACACACCATTACAGCCCAGTTGCATCTCCAAATTAAATTAACAAACATAAACAAAATAAAGTTTCATATCCCTTTTATCTCGAAAACCTAATTCTTCAAAGGTTTTTTCATGTTTTGATGCGGATACTAACATCAAGTAAGTTGAATTCTAACGAGTCTCAACATCTAGAGAAACTAAACCTTTATAGTCCATGCTCTCCTCATCAATACATGTCTTAAATTTAGCAAGCCTTGCCGGAGAAGATCTAGTATACCAAACAGCATGACGAACTCTATAAACAGAAATATCAATGTCTTTCAAACCTTCTTTCACAATTAAATTCAATATGTGTGCGCAGTACCTCATATGAAAATGGTCTCCGCTCATAACTAAACTATTCTTAGACAAAAGCCTTCTCTTGAGACGTTCAACTCCAACATCATTAGATGAAGCATTATCAACCGTCAAACTAAGCACGCGGTTTAAACCCCAATTGTTCAAACACATCTCCATTGTTTCACAAATAGCATCCCCTGTATGACTTGTGACTTGACAAAAATATAAAATCTTCTTCTGTAAGTGCCAATTATTGTCAATGAAATGGACCGTCACACACATATAGCTCAACTTTTGACAAGAAGTCTACATATCAGTGGTGAGACAAACTCTTCGACAATCGAGAGAGAGAAAAATTTTCAAAATCATTTTTTCTGCGTCCCACGGTTTCAAGACATCACGTGCCAATGTTGTGTGCGAACAAATCTGAAATCTTGGTGAAGCGAGACTCATAAATTCATGAAAATACTCATGTTCGACTTTCCAAAAAAGAATTTCCATGTTTATGAACATCTTAAACATTGCTCTTCAAATGGCTTCTTGGTCAAACTTGACAATTAAAGGAGACCCAACATGTTCTTCAACACTTGTCATAAAAGACGATGTCCTTTGCCTCTTGTAAACGAGGCATCTCGATAAATGAGCATGCATGGAACTAGTTCTGTTACTATACTTAATTTTTGTGTCATAATATTTGCACGAAGCTTTTTGTTCTTCTTTCGACGATACAATGAAATGATTCCAAGAGTTATGTTACTATACTTAATTTTTGTGTCATAGTATTTGCACGAAGCTTTTTGTTCTTTTTTCGACGATACAATGAAATGATTCCAAGCCTCTGAATGATTCTTTCGTTTCTTAGTGTGAGGAGGTGGCATTTCACTAGAGACTGTAAGTGGAGGGGTTGAAATCGTATTCTCAGATGTTGCATAAATTGTTCCAACATTAGTCATCTTGATTCTATTAAAATTAGGAAAATAAATTAGAAACGCACAGATTACTTATTCTTAAAATACAGTTTTCAATTAACTAGAAAAGTATCAAGAAAGTAACATTATAACAATGACTATACAATTAACAAAAACACTTATATGAAAATACTTATATGGATTTGTTTATTTGAGTTTATCTACTGATATAAGCACTTTAAAGACTGTTTAGGAGAGCAGCTTATGACATGTTTTCTACTGGTATAAGCAATTTTCATATAAGGTATAAGCACTTTAAAGCTTAGTACCTGTTTTATCAGCTCATACAGTCTTTAAAGTGCTTATATCAGTATGCTCTAGTAAATTTATAAAAAATAACTTATACCTTATATGAAAATTGTATGAGCTTATAGAGTTTCTCTTATAAGAATAAAATAGTTAAGCATTGAACTAAAACATGAGCATACTGATATATACCTTATAATGAGCATGCTACAGAGCTATTTGCACCGATAAAACATTGAACTAAGACATGAGCATACTTATATGAAAATTAACTATTTATAGAGTTGATGTGCATTGAACTATATATGCCTTATATGAAAATTGTATGAGCTTATAGAGTTTCTTTTATCCTTGTATGAGCTTAACTATTTGCACTGCTAAAGTACTATTATAAAATAGTTAAACTAAAACTAAACCTAAAACAGGTATTGTTACAAATCTAGCCTAGTTTGAAGTAACCTAAATGGTGTTCAATTTCAGCAACCTAAAATAGGTATTTGTTTCAAACTGGATCAAGAATTGGTAACCATTTTTCAATAAGCTTCAGAAACAAACGTAGAATAGTTTGGAAAAATCAAGATCAACACAAATTTCAGAAACCCTAATCCTTAAAATTCAAATCTTATTCATCTCTTTCTTCTTCATCATTCTTCAAATTTCAAACCTTAATCTCATTTGTATCTTAATTCTCTAAATCACAATCATGAATTTATCGAAATAGTTGTAAAATCGGCAACATCGTTCTTCAAATTCAACGAGCTCGTCCTTCAACGACGCCCCCGAGCTCTCTTCTCACAATAACAAATGTTTCAAGTTCAAGTGAAACAAATGGTTTCTGATTTTTTTTTAATTTGATAAATGGGCCACCAGATTAAAAATATAAATTTGGGCTGGATTTTAAAATTTGGATTAATTTGGATAGTAATTTGGTTCATGGTTACCGGTTATTTTGCACACCCCTACTACCAATAGTGTCGATTTGCAATTATCAGTCACCGTTCCCGAATTCCGATTAAATATCTTAAGATCCCAGCAAGCGTGACACAAATCAGCAAATCATGTGCGTGGATGATTCTTATTCATCATCGCAATTGTTGCGGTTAGAATATGATATCAAATTATTAATTAATTTGAATCGCATCTTTAGTTCACAACCGCTCTTTGATTCATCCAAAGGAAAAGGTCAAAAGAGGGAAAACCTAATTTTTCATCGTAAAGACAATGCGGAGAGAGATCTAGGTAAGGGGTTGGTTAAGCTTAGGGAAGGTATTAGCACCCTAAACTTCTGTAGTACTCTACATGAACCTTTTGTTTAAATTTAATATTTTTGATTTATTATTTGCTTTAGGGTATATGTTCTAAGGGTTGAGAGTGACATAAATACCTAAGGGTTAGTCCTAAGTTTACTCGTCAAGATTCGCATCTTGTGCCTATGTATCCTGGATAGGGAATGGAATCAGAGTAATCGTAGTTCCCCTCGAAATGGAGGTTAGAAACGTCTTAAAGTTGTTAACATTTCTTAAAACGTGGTCAAGGTTTCAATGGGGAGTAAACATTTCTTAAAGAAACGCTTACGTGGAGTATGAAACTCTTATTTCTACGTTGAAGTTGTTAATTGAAATTAGGGTTGAAATTAGGTATTCCACGGCGAAAAACCCTAAAATAGAGTACGACGACTTTTGACCTAATGCTAGGGTAAAGGGAAATTTCGTCCACGGCGGGACACCTAAGCGACTAGGGTTTGAAATGGTCAAAGGTTAGGGCTATTGACTCGGCAGTCAAATTGTGAGACCTAATCCTTCGGAAAGTTACAGTAAAAAAAACATGCAAGCAAACGAATTATTACATGGAAGAATTAAAGTACGGAAATAAAGAAAATGGTAAAGCAAAGCATCGCGACGATTACTCGCGTAAATTACAAATTCCAAAACGGAAAAATAACAACGGCGACAATTACTCGCATAATTGCAATTGAAACTTGGAAACATGAACGAATGAATTAATAATAAACGAGATGACGAGAGCTAGACAGAAACCAACACGATCACATCATGAATTCATATTTTTGAATTTTTATTTAAGGAAAAAAATAATTTTGCATTTAAAAGGAGAATTCATTTTAACTTTGAAAAAAATTGTTTTGATTTAATTAAAGAAAATGTTTTGAAACAAAACATGTCTTTGAACTTGTTATAAAAATGTTTTAATTTTAATTAAGAAAAATATTTTAATTTTTTATTAGAAAAAATATTTTAAAATTTGATTAAAAAAAATGTTTTAAAATTGTATTAAAGAAAATGTTTAAATTTGATTAAAGAAAAGAAATGTTTTAAAATTTTCTTTTTGTTTTAGATTAATCACAAAATTACATTAGTTATTCTTAAGATAAATCTTAAACTAATAACATAATGCAATAACCAATAAAATAAATAAACAATAAACAACAAGAAAAATAAAATAAATAAAAGAAAAAACAACAAAGGGGGGGGGGGGGGGGGGGGGAGGGGGAAGCCGTGTGCTATCTTTATTTTAGGGTTGTGATACATTTTCCATCTTCTTCTTCGTTGTGGTACCGGCGGCCATGGATTTACATTCGAAGCTTTTATCTTCTTCATTTCCGCATGCATGTCGCGATCCACTCTCGATTTCTTCCTATCGTGTTCACCTAAAAAGAAAATAACAAAAAAAAATCGTAGTGAAAGCCTCACCGTTTTCGATTATGGTGCAAGGTTGATGTTGAATGATGATGATGGTAAACGTTTGGTGACGGCCAATGATATGTAAAACTGAGGCTTTTCGGTTGTAGCTGGCATTCGAATCCCTATGGATTCCGTCGCCGCCGTTGTTTATCGTCGGCTCGGTGACGTTTGGGTTTTCGGTGTTATTCCTCTTCTTTTTTCAACTCGAGGTGATGATGATGAACCTCGGGACCACGGCATTTCTAGTAGCGCGCAACTGCTTCACCCGCTCCTCGACAGAAGACATGTTCGCTGCAAAAACAAAGAAAAAGTTAGCAACGGCCAGAACACCCGAACACGGGGAGAAAAGAAACATCCCTACCTAGATAATCCAAAGCGGCCGCCCCGATGGCGCAACCAAGCAGGGTCTTAGTATTAATCAGCCACTTTTTGGTTCGCACGTTCCCCTGCGCGTCGAGGATGTACCGACCATCAGGCGTCACCAGCTTCGACGGAGGAAGGGCCCGCACAAAGGCGACTATTTTCAAATAAACGACCATATCTTTCTCGTCGAGGGTCCCCGCCCGTACGATATACCTATCCGTACCTCGGTTGAAATGCTCCGCGGTCCACAACAGATGTATCTTGGGAAGCCACGCGAGGAACCGCTGGTCGTCTACCATTCACTCGCCCTCTGCGAAGATAGTAACCGAGCCCTGCTGTGTGATCGGTTTAACGAGGAAGAACCGACTTTTGAAATCCTTGACGGAATCATTATACGCCTTGAAGAGCTTGGTCGACTGTTTAAATGAGACCCATCCCTGGCGGCCATTCACCGACTGGCGCTGTAAGTGGAAGATACGGAAAAACAACGGTACCGTGGGCTCCACCTCGAGGTAGAAGCACACCACCTCGAAGGCACGGATGAAAGCCAAGGCGTTGGGGTGCAGTTGGGACGGGGCCAAGCGCAACCAATCAAAGAGCCCCAAATGAAAGGCGGAGAACGGTAACCTGAGCCGAGCCTCTTTGAAATAGAACTCGTGCATGGGAAACATCCGCCGCCCATATCGCGAGCAGATGCGATGATGCCCCTTCGGCCGGTACACCTGCCAATGTTGCGGCTCCCCGATAGGCGTATCCTCGACGGTGGCATACACGTCGGACGCGTCGGCCACGAAACAAGACGGGGTAGACAGCGGCTCTTCAGCCGCCCATTCTTCGACCGGGGCGATGTGCTCGTCGTCAAAGTCCGGGACCTCGGGTTCGTTGTCTTCAACCATCGTCCCCGGTACCAAGGCCGACATCTACACCTGAAAAGCAGAGGGCAACGGTGAATTCGATAGCCAAGATCAAATCCACCCTTCCACCGCAGGTCAAGTGAAAGGGCGACAAAGGCCAGAGAACGGCGAGCAAACAGGCGCTCCCCGTCGATCCTCCTCGGGGCGTCCAAAGCCAACCCACCGTCCCTCCGCGGGACGGTCACCGAAAAAAGCGCGCGTCCCCGGGGCATTCATCGGACAAAGCACTCGTCCCCGGGGCATTCATCGGAGAAAGCCCCCGTCCTCGGGACATTCATCGGAACAACCGATTCTCCCCGGAAAATTCACCAGAAAATCGCCAGATACAGCGGATCTTACGTCCCTCCTCGGGGCATTCATCATGCCCCGACCACGCATTCTAATCAAGTGGCGGAAATAAAAGGGAAGAGAAAGAAGAACTCACTTGTAACGGCGGCGAACGGGAGGAAGAACCAAACGGCGCGGCGGAGATCGACGGCAACGGCGGACGAGCAAGGATCTCAGAGCTTCGCAGGTAAAACAGCAAAGTGGAAAGTAGAAAAATGAGCGGGGACCCCCATATTTATAACCCGGTGCGGAATTCAAAGCGACGCTAGCCTCATTAATGACATAGGGTAGCCGCCCCTACGACCGCTTAACGCGCGACACGTGGCGGCAACCTGACAGTCGTGCACCTTCACCTGCTTTCACCCCGCTCCGCCGGCGGCGGGAGACCCCCGCGCAAGCGCCCGTTCCACCGTGCACAAACCCCGACGAACCTCCC